AAACATAATAATAGAAAATATTCATTATGGTAAACAAAATAATAATTTGATCTAGGTGAGAGTTTTTTTTCTTCCCGATTTGAAAAAAATTCTTACGTGAAAGAATATTATTTTGGAAATCCGCGTAGCTGAATTATGGAAAATCCGTTATTAACACCAAAACAACATTTATGAGTTTAAATTCGCCTGTGTAATTAATGTTATTAACCCGGATATATTAGGTCGTCAAGAAATTAATATCGCTATTTTTAAATGAAAAAACCCCAACAACTTATATATCAAAACAAAACATTTATTAAATGAAATAGTCTCCATTCTTATCGATGATGCCTTTTCATCTAACGATAAGGTTGTTAATACCTTGATTAAAGAAATCACTTGGCTTTGAAGCAAAAAACATGTCGATGCCTTCTTTAATACTTTCAACATTTGCATACGTTTTCCCATTAAGATGGTGTTGCAGCGAACGAAAAAGATGGTAATCTGATGGTGCCATATCTGTAGAATGTGGTGGGTGGGGGAGAACTTCCCAATCCAACTCCATAATCTTGTGTTGCGTCAAACGTGCCACATGTGGACGTGCATTGTCGTGGAGAACGATTGACGAGTGAAGGGCGTTTCTGATGAAAGGCTTGATTTAAACGTTCCAGTTGCTGACTATAGATCTTTGCATTGACAGTTCGCTGTGGATTGAAGAGTTCGAAATGAATTACTCCTTTGATGTCTCACCAAACACAAATCATCACTTTCTGTGTATAGAGTCCAGGTTTTGGGATCGGACGTGGTTTTTGTCTAGGAATGAGCCATTGTTTTCGGCGTTTAATATTCGCATAAAGAATCAATTTTTCATCATCGGTGCCAATTCTCTCCAAAAATGGTTCACGCCAGAAGAGACGAAGCAACGTTCACACGTTAGAAACAATGATCATCGGAAAAGTTCGTGAAGCACCCAAACACCTTCTTTGTGGAGTTTTCCCTTATTCCTTAGATGTTTACGTATTGTTACATGAGAGACACACAATTTCAGGACCATTTCACGAGTGTCAGAGCATCAATATCAATTCCAACATG